AAAATCAGATCTGTTAACAGCATAATGTAACGTTGTAATAACGGGGATAATTACATTTGCGATACTATATTACCATATTACGGATACTTTTCGTGTTAGTATGCTATATAACGTAATTATTATATTTATATTATGATGATGCCTTGTAAACTGAACGATTTCCAATTTGAATTGCTTGTAAATTATATAAAACTGTTTATATTAATTATACATTGCTCGTTCGTTGCACATTAATTATCTGATAAATGCGTAAGAGAATTATTGATAAAGTAGACCGGTATATTTATAATATCTATTTTAATTAATGCATGCATTTGCGTATTTACGCGTATCAAAAACGCGATTTATATACATATATATATTGTTTATATACCGAAACGATTTATTCTGGTAATGAGTTCCAAATTCCGATAACTGAAATTTTATCGAATCAAAAGATAACAATTGCATCAAAATATTGTACAAATTGCGCTTCCTTCTTACCACGAAAACTCCGTAGGATTTATTATTAGTTGGAAACTTTTGTTCTTTGCTGGATAATAAGGCGTTCTGGAATATTCTATTCCTACCGACTGCAGTATTTGGTTCTCGCTTCTAAAGAAGCTTCTCGCTCTTTTGCTTCGCGGATTCAACTCACTTATTTCTCGTGCCGTTACATCTTTCTTGCGTAGGCATGTTTCTATCTTTTTTTCTTTTAAACTGCTTTACAGTGAAAGATATTTCGACGGTTAATTACAAGTCTTTTTGATTGTGAAAGTTCCTCGTTGGAACGGTAATTTATAAATCGATGAAACCTCAAAGAACAGAATTTGATAAAACTCATTGCGAGTACCACTTGTTGCAGTATTATCTTTTTGCATAAATTTGTGAGTACTCAGTTTACTATTACGAATTGGAAAACACGTTCTCTTTGGCGATTTTTCAATAAGGCACAAATACGAAACAAAGGGTCTGTTTCAACGGGTTTATTTAATTTCTGTTAAAGTTCTAAATCCATCAGTTTCATTTATCTTCGGTATATTTCCTATTTAATTGCATGTTAATCAAATTAGTTTTCAATAAAGAAGTCTCACAATCAGTATATGCATATAGAGATAGATCAAATAAAATTAATGAAATAAATATGTATTTTTTCAAAGATAGATTTTGTATTTCTCTTGCGTTTTTTCCAAGGACATTTTCTCTGTGACATTTTCTCTGTGACATTTTCTCTGTGATATATGAGGACAGCAATGTTTTGCATATCATTTTAAAATCTCCCTTTATATCATTGCAAAGTTACTCAAATTAGACTTTGACACTATCTTCGTGAGCGGACGCTATCCTTACAATTAAATTCGAATAGTCAGATTACCCGTTTCAATTTCGAGAATCCGGTCAAATCCGAGTTTTTGTCTGCTGTGATCAATTTTCATTTTCGCGCGACCCCGTAATAAAACCATATTATCGACTGTATTAGAAACTTCGTGAGCACTTCATTTCTAACAATATAATTTTACGTTTTACTTTTTAAAGGTGAAAGAATTAGTGTATTATTAGTAAAGAAACATTAAACATTTGCTGTTTTTTTGATTACATCAATTATAAGTGTAACACTGAAGTCTCCGATTTATTTTTAGAGAATACCGTTGAATGTGAATATGGATAGATAAAAAAATCAACAATCTACGTTATATTTGTTTGATCAATGCCAATTTGTAACAAAATGCATGATTGCGAAAGCTTGTTACAAACCTTTGAAAGCATAGCCATAGAGTGGAGTTTTATCAAAAAGCGATTGTTTTGTCACGATGTAAAATTATGACACAAACTATAACGTGTTGTCCGAACAAAATTGCATTTTGTCAATATCGTGAAATGTTGGTATAAATTCTAATAATAGCGTATTACGAGAATTTTCTTGTGACTTATTGGCACATAATCACATAATCCGGAACATCTGCCACCGTGTTAGCATCCCTAGCGAATGCTCGTATATTTTTTTTATCGTAGAATCTATGCATAAAATATATATGTGTCTTGATCGAGTACGTGCCTGGTAGGAATAAATCAAGTATTAATTCTCACATTCACGCACACGGATACGAGAACCTCACAAATTATGCAGGACGTAAATCCTACTTCTTCTTAAATTTCCTTATAGCTTCCTTGTATTATGTGATTAAACTAACAGTACGATCTTGTGATTTATCTCGTACGTTATTAACATGCATATATCACGAGTGACTTTAATAATCTGTTGTAGCAGGATGATATAAGTTGATGATAATTAAATGTTACTACACAATGCTTATTAATTTACGGGCGAGCAACTTCAAACTTTGAAACTTTTGAATGAGCATAATTATGTATATAAATTACAAAGTTATCGCATCAAGAATAATAATCTAAGAGCAAATCTCACATTGTTTATTTTATAAAGCAGTGGTGTTAGATTACATCTTACGTCGTGACAATCACGGTATAATAAGATAGCTGTAAAGAACAATACAAAAACATATAAAAAAACGTATGGCAATACGTAAGCAGTAAGCAAATTGGTTAATCACAGTAGAGAACTATTTTACAATAGGAGAGGGAATTTGGATTTTTTAAATTTGATTGCAATATGATACTACGCACTATGCATAAAAAGGAGTATTTAAGTCCAAATTTGATCAGTTGTTTCGAGTATTTCTATCGTCTTTATGCGTAATGTTATACCTGTCTTATTATTCCATGCATAGTGACAGTTGCAAATTAAAAATTACATAATGCGTGTCTATCGCGACTCGGAAAAATTTTGACGTGTACGATCACGTACGTCGTGTTTGCTCGACTCTATCTGCGTCTTGTAATAACATTATTTTTCCATCCCTAATTCAGAAGATGCGTTTTCCATTCCATATTTGTCTTCTCTTTTGCGCGCGCAGACCAAAAGCCTGACACGAAAACCAAGAGACGCGACAGAGTAAAGAACGCGCTTACTTACACCCATTATTTTTCCGCAGAATAAAAGGTCTGACGGCTTTTAGGTTGCATGCCCCGAAATAAGAATGTTATCCAAAGATTTGAAGAAGAATGAATTGCTTCTTTGGACTTTGATAAAATGGTTCGGGTTATGTAATGAATTTCATATCATTTAATTACTTGTCTCGTGTCAAGTTCTTTTACAGCACTGAAATCATTTAAGGATTACTTTATTAAAAAATTCGAGGGTTTAATTTGATAAAAAAATCAGACGTATATGTTGTATAAATATTATCAACTATTTCATACATAATTATATGATGTTAATGTTAAAACAGAAAATATTAATTTCCAATCACTTTTTGCAAAGACTATATACCAGGAATATCCTTAAATCATATTAATTAATTAATTATCTAATATTTTTATCTGGAAAAATATACAATATTTTTTGTTTATTTCATTTATAATTAATAAATTATGACATTTATATAATGTTCGTCTAAAATTTAAACACAATATTACAGATAATAATAATAATAATAATGAAAAATGAAAAATTAAATAAATATTTTTTGGTAATGAGTACAATACTTTTTACATTAATAATTAATTTAATTAGAAAATATAATAATGTAAATCAACAACTTTAAAAACTGCTTTTGTTAAAACTCTGACTATAAATCATCTAAAATTTTGCAGATTTCAGGATAAAATTCTGCTTCTTATTTCACATGATGATATATTTTAATGTATGATATATATATTATACATTATCATACGTTCAAAAATTATTTATACTATTATGACACATGTACAAATCAATCCCAAGTCAAAATATGTAAATCTAATTTCTTTAGCTCTTCTTTTGAACTGGACGACACGTCGTCACGAAGATTGGTTTTTAAGAGTTAAAATTTTAGTACTGAGTTTTTATTTCAATTAACTCAATTTCACGCAGCTAATATTACTTGGCACGAACACAATATGCATGTATTTTGTTTCTTTAATTTTTGTCATATTACATAAAATTATGGATAGAATAGTCCATAGTGAGCTTAATATTATTGGAACATAAGTAGATATTCACAATCGAGTCTTATTTCAAGATCGTTTTAAATAATGCCTTAAGATGCTAATATAGCTCTATAATTGGTTTGACGTCTAAAGACTATAATTAAAATACGGTCTAAGTATAAAAATCGACTATGAATACCTGTTATAATTATCTTTATAAGAATCGGATACGAATTCTCTTAGGTAAAAGAAAATATACAAAACAACGGTATGTTATTATCATATTAAGAGGAAGATTTCTGTCGTATATTTTTCAATTTTTGAGGATCAAGATAACATTGCTAAATCGTTCTCATACATTACAATACATCTCATACATTACACAAAAACAAAAATGAAAAATATTTTCCAGACAAAAAACAAATAATTTTCAAGTTGAATTTATGTAATTTAAGAAAATTGGTGATATCTTACGATTCTTTGCGAACCTAAAATAAAAGTAAATGTCAAATGTACGAAATTAGAGTATAGTGTATAAAATGAATATGATTATACATGCAATGTAATGAGATTAAACCAGGTGCCTCTCAGGTATTTCTAATTTAGAACCTGTTTCGCAGCTAAACTCCTAAAGAACACGTGTATTTCGCAATTAGTGAGGTCATGATGTTCAAGATTCCTAATGATTATCGTTGCATCGAAGTTAAATTGGATCGTATCGGCAACTGCAACAAACCTCTCAAGCAAGGAGCAATATCTGACTCTTTAAAGGAGAAGCGAGATTATCTACATCAATTTTCTTATATGAGAATATAAATACACGTGGAGCTTTCAAAGCTCTTCCGTGCATAAAAATGAGTGTTTATGTATAATATGAGAATGGTGAAGACGAACAAGACAGCATATGTCTATCAAAATCACGGAAGACAATCTATTAAGGACATCAATATTTTCTCTGAGAAGAATAAAGGGATGGTATTATTGCGTGGAAATATGTTTAATAAAACATAATAAAAAAACCAAAAATAGGAGTCACCAATCTTTTTATTCAAATTCGTATCGCGTTGGATGCAAATTCCACAAGATGGGAATGCATTAAATACGATGAACGTTTGAACCATGTTGCTGTGAGATACTCTGCGGCCGGGATGCTCCAAGTGAGACTCGATGTAACATCAAAATGCAGAGGGAAGAGCCCGAATTCCATGATGAGCAGCCGCGCGTAACTCGTTCATCTTCTCGCATAACTGATAGCAATGTAGAAAATGCTTTGCAATGTACAATAATTAGACTGACAGCCCCGTCGAGATAAAGGTGTAACGTACACCAAGGGGACGCGATGGCATCGCGGACAAGAAAGCGGTGGTGTGCGAACGGTGGTGTTTTAGTGCGACTGACGCTGACCCTTTCGGGTTTGTGTGCGGGTCAGTGCACGAATATTGGCCTGATGACAATGATGACAACAACGACGACGAGGGCATCGACGATGGAAACGGGAACGATGACGATGACGGCTGGTGGCTCCAGGGAATGCATTGGAGTGGGTGTACGGACGATGCAGTCTAAGAGTGAAGTAAAGCTAGCGGTGATCGCGCCGGGTGATCCTCACCACGAGCAGAGTCTGCAGAGGGTGTTACCCGCGGTATTGCTAGCTGTGAAATACGTCAGCTCACCCAGGGGACCTTTACCGGGATGGAACATCAAGGTGGACTATCGCGACTCGTACTGCTCCAGCACTTACGGGCCCTTGGCCGCGTTCGACTTTTACATCAACCAGACAGCAGGTCGCATGATACGTTTATATCCTCCACATTTTTCTTTTCTGCTACTCTTTGCTCTATTTTCTTTGTGTTTGTTTATACCTTTTTATTTTCCTTAATCGTTATTTTTCATCTCCGACGTAATCGAGAGATGCGGCATTCCGACAAGCTACGCGAGTCGAAATTTCATATTAAAGAACTACAGAAATCTTTTGTAAAGATGAATATTTCCTCAAATACTTCGGGAATTATTTAAAAGGTTTCACAAATGCACGGCATAATTTATTCAACGCGACGATTTTCAAAACTTCATGGTAATTAATGCATTGAAATATTTGAAAAAATGAATAATACAAATAATATTTTAAATAGGCTGAGATTCTCGATTACGTTCAGCAGGTACTTAATGTCAAATTTGTTAAGCTTTAAATATCGAATTTCACTAACTTTGTTTGCTATCTCTAATACGTTATTGAATACAAAGATTTTTTTAATATTTGTGATACAATATCACTTTTTATATAATATGCTTTTACTTCTCTTAATTTCCTCCGTTTGTATGTTTTCACAGTAGATATTTTTAATGAATTATAATATATATTTAAGAGATAAGGTCATTGTAAAAGTTAAAAATTTAGTCCTTGCATTTCCTGAAAGACTTACATATATAAATAGAGACATATTTTCCCATGTTACTCTCATTGTTACATTGCAACTAGAAAGTAGATTAATCAATTATTTTATTAACTTGATAAAATTCTTTTTGTTTTTTCAATATCAGAAAATTTTTTTAGTTATTAGAATCACTACTTGAAAAATGTACTTATTTAATCCCTTAAGAATTAGAATAAAAATTTGAAAATAAATTGACATTTAAGAATTTATGGAAAGCCTGGCGCTGGAAAAGAAGTATAGCACACAGCACGATAAATCACGTGCAAAGTCGGGAGGCCCATACATCAAGAAAAGTGATTTGTAAAGTTGTTTGCACTTGCTGTATGTATAACTCTTTGCCAAACATAGTGAAAACAGCTGTTAAACATGTCCAGATGGTCACTGTAAGCCGTAATAATATATATCATTTCATATTATTTATCGCAAGTTGAACTTTCGAAAAACTTGTACAAAAAGTTTGTATTGGTATGTCACTAACGATTCAAGTTTTTTTTTCAATGAAATTACTTCTTGACAGCCGGATATTTGTTTTAAGTACTTAGATGCATTCGATACTCGATTGAGGAGACAGAAAGTGCAATAGAAGCAAAAAAAAGAGAGAGAGAGAGAGAGAGACAGAGAGAGAAACAGGACGTGAAAAGCACCCTCGAGCGCACAGCACACAGTTTAATTTTCAGTGGAAACGTCGATAAACCTAGACTTCCGTTTCTATTTGCGCGCTTTGAAGGTCACTTTTCCCTTTTTCCGGCTTCAAAAAGCGGATTAGATCGACCCTATACGGCGATATACGTATAATTAATCTACCTGTTGGTCGCCAACCAACGCGATTCAAGAATATTCATTGTGCCAAAAGTGTCCCCGGATTTGTGTAACAAACGGATTTCGTTCTTATCGTATCTAAGCCGATTTCGTATTTAACGACTGAAGGGAGATTTGTGATAAACATAACGTAATATGTGTATGCAAAGATGATTTCCGTGTTATTTATGACGAGTATATGTATAAAAGGATAATGTTTCAATGTAAAAATACATGGAAACCACAGTTTTACTGAAGTATCTAGAAATTGAGCTAGACCTGAAAATAATTTTATTGGATTATCAGAATAATTAAATAGGATGCTCAAGTTAGTTGCTATAGAATATTGCAAAACTTTTTGCAATAATATTGCTCATCATTTTTCTTATATTAATTGTTTTGATGGTTCAACAAAATTGTTTTCAGATCTGTATGTACAATATTTAAATTTTTAGAAGCTTTAGCAAAATCGTTTTTTCCACGTGAAGAAGTAAATTGTATTATCCCTATATATTTTATATATTCCTCGTTTTATCCTCTTACAGAATCTGGATAAAATATAGTATCAGTGAAAGCTTTGAAACTTGTGTTAATACAGTGATATATCCTATGTGTATCTGTAGACTCCGTAAAGCTTTTGAATATTTCAAAATATTCTGTTGCGCGCGCGTATAAATATTATTTTGACGATATAAATACAAGTAGTGTGCCTAATGAATACAAAAATTATAATTGAGCTCCAAATTGTATTTATTCAAAATTTTCACATAAAGAAAAATATAATTATATATTTATTTAAAATTTTAGGTTTTTAAAAAATATTTATTAAAAAAAAAATTATGAATATTTAACGAGTATTCATATTCATTCAAATAAAATATAAATTGAAAAAAACTTCAATAAGCAATCGTTACCCTTAATTATAACCAGCACTTTAATGACTTTAAGTAAAAAAAATAAATTTTATTTGTTTTTATCATTGTAATATTCAAATTTTTTTATGAAGGAAACTTAGAAATTTTGAAAAATATTTTAAAAAGTAATACATTTTTAATTTATAAATATCTATTTGATAGGACGTCTACTCCGATATAATTTCGGTTACGTCACAGTAATGTCATAAACATATTATAAGATATCTTGGGCGCATCGTTCATTATGTCTGTTAAATTCAGAGATATATTATTTATTTCCAATATAAATATCTTTGTTTAACCTATAGGTATAGGTAACGGACTGTGCGCGCGGTGTAATCGTAGCAATTATTTTTATAAATTTCTATTTTCTCTTGCAGGCTTGCAAGCTATAATATGCAGATAATATAGAGTAAAAGTGAATACGATACGAAAATATTCGTAATCATATTCAAAAAATATTTATTCAAATGGAATGAAAAAGTATTTATTTGTTTCTTGACGAATAAAAAGAAGTGTATTCAAATGAGTATTTTCATTCATTTTTTATTCATTTATTCGAATATTAGGTGTATTCACCGAACACACTAAATACAAGAGAGATGACAAGAAACATCTAGTGATAGAGAAATATAACATTGAGGTAACAAAAATATGTTTTGAAAATACGCGAGAAAAAGTAAATTTTTTTTCCTACGAATCAAACAATCTCGACGTTTTTGCGAGAAGACATATCCAATCGACATCGCGTGACGTGTTCACTATGAATTAGTTATAAACTCGACAAACAGATGATCGAATGGATTAAATGACGTGCTAATTAGACGTAGGAGTGATCGTGTTGTAGAAAAGGTACATCGACCTCGCGATGCATCGTCGCCGCGTATTCCAAGGATCGTGTCTTAGAGCTCGCATTATTGTATCAATTAATCAGAGACGATATTCTTCTAAGGGCCCGATGCCGTATGTTCTAATTGGGCCCCGTAGTTAGAGCCGTGCCTTTGCCGCGGCAAACGCCTCGGTAGAAACGCGCCTATTTTTATGAGAGAATGACATCAGCTTGTGTCAATTTGCAGCTGCAAACTGTCGAACAAGCTGCCGGCTGCAACGACATGATGACGAGGATTATGACGATGAACCGCCTCTCGCCGGTCAGTCAACCAAAGCCGCGTCTTTTTTCGTCAGCTCTCTGCGCCCAGACTCCGTTAAATACTGTTTTAATTCAGTTTAATTAATCCCGTTGTGCCGGTGGCTCGCTCTTCTGTTCGGATTAATTGACCTCACGCCCTCCCTCGTAAGCGAATCGTTTACTTTCTCAGGAGTGCGTGCAGATCGCCGATAAAAAATGTTTCATCTCTGTTTGCGAGATGAATTTGTAACATTAATGGAAATTGCGTCGTTCTTTCTTTCGGAAGAGCGATATGAGTGAAAATGAGGTAATTCGTTGCTGCTTGTCCAAAGGAAAGCAGCTATAGTTAGAAGAGAATGGCCTTCGCAAATGCGCAATTTCAGTAGGAGAGAGAGCTTTATAATTACCTGTCTACAACAAGAATTCATTATGAATGTCGACAGAGAGAGTACATTTTCTGCCGTTTCTATTCGATATTCGATTGATAGTCCATTACAGTTTTAATTCCACTAGCAGAGGCCTAATACGATTCCATTTCACTCTCCTGTCGCATCTCAATACGAAATTAATGGAAATAGTTATAATTGACCTTCCTATCGATTCACGAAATTGGAATTCATTTTGAATTTTTATGATATTAGTGTTACCTACAATTTCTTTCACAATTTCAATTATCTTCTCGAAGGATAGATTCAAGCGGTTTAACTCTCAATCTATCGACGGAAGCTAAATTGATATAAATCTATCCTCATCAATCCCCGCTAAATCAACTCCGATGTGAGTTTTTTCACGTTCGCTAAAAATTTCAAACGCTGTGAAAAACAGAAAAGAGCATTTCCTTCTTTTGCTGAAGTCGGGTAAATCAAGAAGTGGGCTATTAAATTTACAAAGCACTCTGGCCGCGTTTACTCTTCTATAATTTTAATTGAACGTTTAATTATCGAGATCATTAAGTCTGAATATAAAATAATCATAGTGAATAATGACTTTTCTGGAACTTTTCCCCTATCCAAAACTTTCAATAAATTGACTCCAAGTTGTCAACTTGAAAACTTCTGCCATTAGCATTAAAAGTGAAGCATCTTTCATGACATTTCGTGTAGTGATAAATAGAATACTTTATGACTTGATATGTGACTAAATATTGTTGTTTAAACTTTAGATTTACTTTACACATCAATTATGTATTATGGAAAGAAAGATTTAACTGAATTATCTACAAAATTAATTAGATACAGATCTGAAAATAATTTTATTAACCATCAAAATAATTACGTAGAAACACTCAAATTGATTGTTAGAATGTTAAAACTCCTTGAGGATTGTTATCAATGTTTAAGCACTCTACATAATTACTTTGATGATCCAACAAAATTTTCTGTATCTAAGTAAATTTTTATATGCTTCAGCAAAATCTTTCTTTCCGTGTACATATGTAACTTTCCCTTGTATTACTTTTTTGAACATATTCTTTATTTAAATAAAATATGTTACTAACAAATTAGCTA